CATATTTTATGTCTATCCAATATTTATTTGTAAATTTTTTTTTAAATTTTAATCTCACTCTTACTATATTTTAGCAGTATTAAGAAAATATTCTTTATATTACTGACAGTCAAGGAAACTCTCTAGTACTTTAATTCCAAAGGAGAATTATCAATTATAGCTGGTGTCATATATCTCTTTTTAATATTTAAAATATATATGTATATATTTTTATTTTGATAAATAGCTCCTAAATATTTCTAGGTGTGTCTCTGGAAATTGTATTCTAGTCTTCTGACAAATCATTTAACTTTAGGCTAGAAAATTGCTAATAGGTCTATCAGAGACCAGAACCATTTAACTAAGTAGAAAATGTAGCTTCAGGAACAGTTTAAAACTACTCCCTTGTTTCTGAAGTCCATGTTTTCAACTTCTTTCTGTGTTTGCCTTTGTCAAAAAGCATAACTTTTTGGTGACATTATGCTGCTGCTGCATGCATGCATACAGGCTTTTACTGAAAAGAACGGTTATCAGTAGAAGTTTTAAAACACAGATTAAGGCTGCTACATTGCTCAACAACAGCAGCATTTTTTATAATAACTCTTCAGCCCTTATTTTTGTAGGAAAGCAAGTGGTTTCATCCAAACAAGTAAAGTATGTCTTCCTATTAATTTATTTACCAGATACAGGAGCTCATCTTTCTTTTCCAAAGGATTTGATAAGTAATTCCAGTGCTCCTTGATTTTCATAGACCTTTTAAAAAACATTTCATCATCTAGACATCTTAATGCAAAAATGGACTATCAAATGGTCTTCAGGATGTGACACTTCACACTAGTGGAGCTCCATGAAGAAAGAAGCAAACTGCATAAGCTTGTTTTATGGTTAAGTATGGTCAGGAATCTCAGAATACCAAGAGTCATAGCCTTGGCTTTTCCTCTGGAAATGAAGTTAGTGGTGGGAGCCACTTGAAGGAAAACTGCACAGACTTCTGACTGCCAGACAGTTTTTGCACCTAATGTGTTCGACATATGGATCAGAAATCTCATCAGTGTGTTCATGAGACACAAAATGTGGTTATTCCACCACAAATTTTAGATAAGCACTGTCTTCCAATGCACAATTTCTCAGAATAAGTTCACTTCATTAACGAACACTGGCATGAATGTGGAAGATAGAAAGATGTTCTGTATGAACCTGACTAGCTTTCCTTCCTACCTTGGCAACATCATGCAGTTTGATGCTCTCTGCTGATTTAAATAAACATGTGGCAAACTCATATCCTATTTAAAAAGTCTTACAAGTGAAAAAAGTGGTGTGCACTTCTATACCGAAGGTACGAGCATTTAGGAGAATAGGGACTTTCAGTTCAGATTGCTCTCTCTTCTAAAGGTAGATTTTGGATGCTTATAGTATCTATTTATATTTTAAAAGAATAGGTGAGTTATGGACTGCCATCTATACATGCCTACAAATACTAACAGACATTTTAACATCATAAAACACAAATAGGACTAAAAGTCCATCAAATAAAGATATATCCCAAAATCAACAACTCCCAAATGTAAAGAATTCCTAAACAAAAAGAGCTTCACATTTTCCCTCTCAAAAAGTCTGGGTAAGAAGGCTTTGCAGGCATATCCCCAGCAGTTGAAAGCTCCAATATAGCAAAAAAAAAGACGACATAGGATGACTATGCTAATGGCTTGATTCAGACAAATTATTTTAATTCAGATGATTTTTTATTTCCTAGTCAGGAATAGATTAAGACACCTGGAGTGATATTTCACACCAAGAAAATAACTCTGAAAATAATTTTTTTACAGTACAAATAGAAGTTATTTTACATTTCTTATAAAATAAAAAAATTAGTTAGAAGGGAATAACTAGTTTATAAAGAGATTTTGTTCTTTCTTTTACGCTCTTCATCACTAACTGTAGTATATTATGCTTAAATGGTTACGGATTTATCAAACAGAAACACACAATATGTTTAATATAAAATAGAGCATGAAAAAATAACAAACCTTAAAGCCAAGGCTTTGAAAACATAACATTTTATATGTCTACAAAATCTGATCCCTCTAGTTTTCTAGAATAACTAAGAAACAAATTAAGTAAATAAATAGAACATTTATCAAGAAATTCTATCAACTGAAAATGAAGTATAACCACGTAGAAATGAGAAAGTGGACCTTCTCATATGTTAACATACATTAAGGATACTTAAATGCAATATATGTACTCTATAAAAAGGAAAAAGCTTGCATGCAGATCAGTGAGAAAGTTAAAACCATTAAAAAATAAATATATGCTCTGCTTAGCTTCTGTGTAACTCAGGATTAATTTATGACTGACAAAAAATAAATTATGTAGATTAACTGTTCTTCTTAAGCTTTTGTACATAAAGTAGTACCAGTTAAGACAACATACTGGACTTCTAAATAGCTAAATACAGAACTAGGAGCCTGAATACACTTCATTTTAAAATAAGCAACCCTGATGATATTTATTATATCTGAACCTTATGGCGCTCTACTGAAAAAAGAAAACAAAAAACCTGCAGAAAAGTACAAAAGCTACTGTTCATATTAGTTAGTATAGGCACATAATAAATCATAGAATCATAGAATGGTTTGGGTTGGAAGGGACCTTTAAAGATCACCTAGTCCAGCCCCCCTGCCATGGGCAGGGACATCTTCCACTAGATCAGGTTGCTCAAAGTCCCGTCCAACCTGACGGGATGGGGCATCCACAGCTTCCAAGGATGGAACATCCTTGGAAGCTGTGGATGGAACATCCACAACAATTCCAAGGATGGGGCATCCACAGCTTCTCTGGGCAATCTGTTCGCGTGTCTCACCACCCTCATTGCAAAAAAATTCTTCCTTATGTCTAATCTGAAACGACCCTCTTTTAGTTTAAAACCATTGCCCCTTGTCCTATCACTACAGGCCCTGGTAAAAAGTCTCTCTCTTTCTTATAAGCCCCCTTTACACATTGAAGGCTGCAATAAGGTCTCCCCGGAGTCTTCTCTCCTCCAGGCTGAACAACCCCAACCCTCTCAGCCCTTCTTCATAGGAGAGGTGTTCCAACCCTCTGACCATTTTCATGGCCCTCTTCTGGACCCACAGAGGTCCATGTCTGTCTTGTGCTGGGGACCCCAGAGCTGAATGCAGTACTCCAGGTGGTGTCTCACAAAAGGTGAGTAGAGGGGGAGAATCACCTCCCTTGACCTGCTGGCCACGCTTCTTTGGATGCAGCCCAGGATATGATAAAGTTCATAAGTACTGTTATAAACTTAAACGGTTAAAGGTGGAGTATTATTTTTGAGAGATGAGGCAATCCAAATGAAAAAGATGCCTAGAAGGAATAAAGACTATATCACAAAGGTACAAAGTTCAACAAAACTATTCTATGAGAGTAGGATTCTATAAGCAATTATAACTTTAGAATGGCATTTTAGAATAGTTAATATTATGGCACCAGCATTAGCTAAACTCAAGCTGTTCATTTCCCCAAACAAGAAAGAAACTGACAGGTCAGCACTCCAATTAGGAGAAGTGGTCCTGGATAACCTGCATAAGAAGACTATGTAAGAGAAGCAAACTCTGACCTGTAAACTGTGTCTAGCATTTAGGTACCCTTATTAGATATAATGTCCGAGAACAGTGATTCAAGAACAGACTAATACATCATATGTCTCATCCAGAAGGTAATTCAATTAACGACTTCAAAGATCCAGCTCTGGTGTATGTTCGGCGTTATACACCAAATTGGATATTGCAAATTACCTGATTCAGCACATGTGTCCAGACAGCTATAATAGGAAACTAGTGTACAGAATCAGATTTGCACTTCTTAATTTAAGAACATAGGTTTTCAAACTTTTGGCTATCTGTTCCTCAAATAATTTGTTTTCCTGGATCATACAATGAAAATACATGACAGACTGTCAGGTCTAAGATGCTGGGACATTTCGTGTAGTATATTATTGGAAGCCTCTCTCTTAGGTGGTTAATACTGGCCTAAGTTTCCCATCATCAAGGACTTTAATAAACCACATCCTCTAGCAAATTTAGTACTTTCCTTGCCATCCATCCTG